TTTATATACTATAAAAAATGTTTATTTTTAAATTCTGCATCTAAAAGAAAATAATATAAAGGCCGTTCCATTAAAAATTAGAAGGAAATATTTTATATTTTAATAATTTTTACATAAAACTTTTGAGCACCCTGTACAATATGAAGGGTCCAGGGGAAAAACATGATAGGCTCCATTTTACTAATTTTACAGGAGAGCTCTGGACGGTTGGTAGTTATCAGGTTCTTTCCCCGTATTGTTTTACTAGGCATATAGCATATAGGATCAGTTAGACCTAATATAATATTGTAAAAGTCTAAAATCCAGAAAACGGCACTTATCATGTTTTTCCCCGGGACTCTTCATATGTCGCTAAACGTTCCTAGGGTACTGACGGGACCTTAATCAAACTCTCTCTCTCTCTCTCTCTCTCTCTCTCTCTCTCTCGCTCTCTCGCCCCCTCTTTATACGCGATTACGATATTTATAATAAAGTCAGTAGAGACCAACTGCTCTCTCTCGCTCTCTCGCTCTCTCGCCCCCTCTTTATACGCGATTACGATATTTATAATAAAGTCAGTAGAGACCAACTGCTCTCTCTCTCTCTCTCTCTCTCTCTCGCTCTCTCTCGCTCTCTCTCTCTCCCCCCGTCTTTATACGCGATTACGATATTTATAATAAAGTCAGTAGAGACCAACTGAAGCTCAAACACTTTCATTCAATCACACCGTATATCTTTAATACATTGAATAAGACTGCTCAAAAATTTAAATATTTTTTCTGTTTATATGTTTTTTTACGTTTACGTAGAACATACAATTTTTAATGTTTATTAATTTATATATCATTTAAAAAACTTAAATAAGACATTTACTTATTTTGTTTATGTAGCAGACTTAAGTAGATTAGTTTGAGTTAGTGTTGTAAATGGAAATATTTCCATGGAAATGGAAATATTGGAAATTTCCAAACGTGTCTCGGAAATATTGGGAATATTGGAAATATTTTTAAAAATACTTAAATCTTGTCATTAACGATTCAAACCCGATGTTTATTAATATATCTTTCATATTTTGTAACCCTATAAACATTAAAGTTACTATAGAACAGTTTTACAAACATATAATATGGTGAATATATCGAGTTTGAGGATTCACCAACTTATTTGCAACCTCGGATTTCTACTGGGAAGTCCCGAGCTCGTAAGTCGTAGCGTAGTAAAAACTCGCTGGTCTTCAATTTTGACCAATTTAAAAAGTGTATACAATACTAGGCTCAGTTTACAAGGAGTTGCCACGTCAAGAAGCAACACGAATGATAAAAATGTTAAGCTGTGGATATTAAATGACGAAGTATTTTGGGCCCAAATTTCCAACGTAATTAACATTTTTGAACCTATTGGCAAATGGTTAAAAATTGTAGAAGGAGATTATTGCACTATTCATTTTGCTGTAAAAGCATTTTGTGATATTAGAAGGGTAATTCAGAATAATCTTGCATTGTCCTCACTTGACGACAAAGAAAAATCCGAATTGTTGGACTTTGTTGACAAAAGAGAAAAATTTGCTATTAAACCCATTCATTACGCTGCAGAATTACTAAATCCAAAATCACAAGGTTCTGAACTTGATGAAACCCAAATTCTTTCTGCCATAGAATGCTTAATATATCAAAAAATAAACTCAATATAAAGGAGCAAGAAATGATAGATGAAATAGCAGATTACCGTTGTAGAAGTGGCAAGTTATTTGGAAATAACTTCATATGGAAAAGTAGTTTTGATAACCCAGTCTCCCGGTGGAAAGGACTGTGTTCTACATCTTCATTATCACAAGTAGCTTCACGAATGTTGATGATACCAGCATCTTCGGCTGCCACGGAACGCAGTTTTAGCGTTTATAGTCATATTCATTCAAAAAAGAGAAACAGGCTTACTATAGACTAACAGGCTTACTATAGAGCCGCTAAGCTACTCTATGTATCCCACAATGAAAACTTGCTGAAGAAAATAGGAAACGGTAATAGATCAATTTTTATTTCCGATACTATTGAAGATTTTGAGGAAGTAGACTGGCAAGAAGATGTTATTGAGTGTGATGCTGATGACAGCGATATGAGTCTTGTTCGACTAATCATTTTTTTTGTACAAATTTAACCTTAATTTATTTTTTAAACTGAAGAATAACTCTTTATTTGTGTTTATGTATAAGCATTTTGTGTTTTGCGATGTTTTGTTATGATTTTTATAAATAAATATTTCAGTTTTTCTTATTTTTTAAAATATTTCATATATTTCCAATATTTCCATATATTTCCAATGTTTCAGGAAATATTTCCGGAAATATTTCCGAAAATATATTTCTGGAAATTTTACATCACTAGTTTGAGTACGTTTTTTTTGGAACATTCTACTTAGCAAACTAATATTGTTACAACAAATAATTTTTTGAAACACAATGATAAAATACAGTGCAACCTCTTTAATCGGAAGATCCAATAATCAGGACACCTCGATTGCGATGTTATAGTCGGAACGATATAATTGGAATGTTCCTCTACAGATTTGTCAATAACGTAGAACAGAGTTTTCTTGAGTCTTTCGCGTTCCTCTCTGTTTGAGCAATACGTTTGAACTCTCCATAAAATCCTTTATGGGTATTTCGCCACTGCCTTGCAAAGTTTTTTTAATACGTTTGAACTTTAATATATAAATCAGTTTATTTCTGCTCTTTAATATCCACGCGTGACGATCATCAGTTTTGTGAATCAGTACTTTATCGACATATAATGTTGGAGCGAAAATATGTAACGTTTGAACTTGAAAAACGAGGCGATTTCAAAAACTATCCAAAAATGGAGATTTTTGTGCATTCCAAGAATGGCAAGGATGGCTACAGAGGTTTAAAGACGGTTCATTAAATAATGTTTAAATATTTGTGGTGAGCTAATTTCTTGAAAAAATCCTGGTTATTTTTTCAAGAAATTTGTGCGGTTCAAAATTTGTAGGCGACTGTCAGTGGCGAATGATTATACATGGAGAACTAATATCAGCTTTGGATACCTATAATTTGGGCATAGTACAATATTATTTTTTATCAAGGTGCCCGGTGGCGTAGAGGTACAGGCTCTCGTCTACTAATCTCAAGGTAGTGGGTTCGAATCCTACACCCGGCAGTTCATCAGCCGACTATTTTTATTAAAATAAAAATAGTTTGGGTACCTAGGTCGACTGAGCCTTAAATGAGTACTTGGGATTCATAATCCTGAGGTAATAATAGGCGGTTGAAGCGTAGTGTTAGCCACATTACCTTCCTTGTATACCGAACGGCTCTAGCATGGCAAGCTGTACCTTGCTACTCCCAAGGCATTAAACGCTATATACGGGAGCTATTATTATTAGTATATTATTTTATTATAAAAGCTTCGTAGGCAAGCTGCATTACAAAAAACATAAACAGCAGAGAATTACAAGTTTGTTTTTAAAGTTTGACAACAAAAGAACAATGTGGGTTAGATGGTTATGGCGATGTGCATTTTTTTCTGTACAAAGGGTAGATGTTTTCTTTTGATTTTTATTATTTTAACAAGATTTTATATTTTTGGAAAAAAGTCTGGCATTATTTTTTAAATATGTGCTTTTGTAACAACATATTCCTCATTCACTTAAGAGAACAAAAATCATTGCAATACTAAAACCAGGGAAAACAAGTGATTGGCCAGAGAACTACTGTCCCATCGCCTTGCCACAGATTAGTGGCCTTGCTAAGCATGGTTTATAAACTGCTCGAAAAAGTGCTCCTGAACAGAATCAGTCAAAGAATTTATTTCAAAGCGCACATTGTAGCTGCACAGATCAAGTCTTATCACTGACAACATTTATAGAGGCTGGATTTCAAAAGAAACATGAAGGTGAAGTCGCTGCCGCATTTATAGACCTGACAGCAGCATATGACACCGTCTGGAGACAGGGCATAATACATTATTTACTATAATACTCTTCAGTCGCGAATATATACATCACAGTCATATATACATCGCGGACATGTCTGCAACCAAATTACGAAAGTTTGGTTATGCAGATGCAGATAACTGGACCTTGGCAACGGGGCACGGGAAGATAGAGGATGCTGAGGTTGTCCTTACCAGAGGTTTAGCAACCATTAGCGAATAGTCGAAAAATTGAAGCTCCAAACCAAGTATAGCCAAAACTGAAGTATCTGCCTTTCATCTTAATAATAAGACGACAAAGAAAGAACTGCGAGTGAACATGGACAACTACTCTCTCAAAATAAACATCCAAAATATCTCGGAGTTACTTTGGACAGGACGCTTGAAATTAGGACGCATACAGGACGCATTTAAAAAACGCTTGAAATTAGGACGCATACAGGACGCATTTAAAAAACGTTTGAAAAGAATGACGGCAAAGTTGAGAACACGAAACAACATACTATAAAAATTATGTGGTACAACTTGGGGTCCATTAGCATCCATCTTCAGATCCTCTGCGGTGGGCTGGGTGTATAGTGTGGTAGAATATTGTGCTCCAGTATGGCTCACAGGCTATACCCTGAATTACAATTAAGGGGTGAGAACTCTTAACCGAACTGCTAATTCTATTAGGCCGAGGTTTATCCGAGGAGCTTGCGATGTATATGTAGAAAGCAGTGATTATTGAGATCTTTCGACTATTGATGTATATGATTTTTTTCATTTGCCTCGCGAAGATCACTAACCAAGCGGATGCAAGAAGTGATAGTCCAAATGGATAGAGGTTCACAGTTTCACGTGACGCCCTAAGGGGTTGGAGACATAAGTAATGTTGCGTCGAACACACAGTTCTCTTTCGAGCGCAAAAAAATTACGTTTTTAAATAGGTACACCGATTTTAACTTTTGAATATACTTTTTTTATAAATACATATTGGTGTTGTTTATACCATTCTGTGTCCTATAATTTAAATACCGTGATGTATGCTATACGCTAAATAAAATAAAATAAATAAATAAAAATGTAACAAATAAGTATCAATATTATATTATTATTATTACATAAATATCCATAAGATTTTTTTGCACAATATGATACAATATGCATATTGTATATATTTACTAATTGGAACGATTCGCTAACTGGAATGGGTCGTTACAATTAGCTGTTCCGTTTAAAGAGGTTGCGTTGTAAATTTAAAAAATCTTCACTAATTGGACAGGTACAAAATATAATTATTCTTGAGAACAACATTTAGAAAAATGAAAAATAGAAAAATATTTCTACGACTCTGAATTCAAGGTTGGAGATATCGATAATACTGGCTTTGGAAGATGGTACCTCTTAGTACTCAGCGATCTTTCGACAGTCTGTGGAAGCTCTGAAGCAATTGGGTACGAAGTGGCTCTTTTTGCCGACCTGTGAATACAAATAAAACAGAAATTAGGCTTCATTTACATTCTACATTTAAATTCACGTATATAGTAAGCATACTCACATAAATTAACTTAAGATGTACATATTACAAATATCACAATAAAGAAAGCTAACTACGTAAGTACTTTACTGACAGTTCATTATACAGGTTGTATATAAATAAGTCTGAGAAAATACTTTATAAATTTGAATATATTCTATAATTTCTGTATACAGAACAATCAAAAAGAACTACATAATCTAGACAAATTTTTAAATACAAATTGTTAAATAAAGTACATTATAATTATTTAATTTATTATTTAGGGGGTTTATTATTTAATAAATAATATTATTTACAGGTTCTTTTAGCGCCAACATAACACATTTTATTTTTATCATATTTCAACAACCTTGTTATTTATACATGTTCTTTATGAATATTTTATTTTAGGTAAAAGCTAATCAAATAATTTAGTGCTGTATAATTTTGTATGTTGTGTAGTGGTGTTATGTATACAAATTTTGTTGTTTTATATAACAAATTATACCGTGTGATAACTACTATATTAGTGTGTATATTACAGTAGATTTATATTATATTTTTTTGTTGTAGGCACAAAAATGTTTCAGCCTACAGTATATCAATACATAAATATTTATGAAATGAACAAAATTCTTACAGCTTTAGTGTATATTAATAAATAATATTTTCTTGCCTTTAGCTGTGTATTTTTTTTTTAATTTAGAAAAATCGAAAGTAGTGGAAAAAAAAAAGTAAAAAGAAAATTGTTTTGCTTGTCGTAAAGGGGGGAACCAAGCTCCACTCTCACAACCGGTTTCTGGGCCTACCCTTCATCAGGTGGGCTGTCCAGGGGCTGGTTCTCACCGATACGGCAAGCAAAACTTCTTCTATATCAACAGACGATGTCGTAAAGTGTCGATGGGATATTAATGCATCTCCCGTCAAAAGATGGTAAAGAGCGTTTTTCGGCCCGATATGATGACATATATATTTGAGCGGGCCGAAAAACGCTCTTAACCATCTTTTGACGGGAGATGCATTAATATCTCACCGGCACTTTACGACATCGTCTGTTGATATAGAAGAAGTTTTGCTTGCCGTGTCGGTGAGAACCAGCCCCTGGACAGCCCACCTGATGAAGGGTAGGCCCAGAAACCGGTTGTGGGAGTGGAGCTTGGTTCCCCCCTTTACGACAAGCAAAACAATTTTCTTTTTACTTTTTATTTTTTTTCTCTACTTTCGATTTTTCTAAATTAGAAAAAATACACAGCTAAAGGCAAGAAAATATTATTTATTAATATACACTAAAGCTGTAAGAATTTTGTTCATTTCATATATATTTGAGCGGGCGGAAAAACGCTCTTTACCATCTTTTGACGGGAGATGCATTAATATCTCACCAACACTTTACGACATCGTCTGTTGATATAGAAGAAGTTTTGCTTGCCGTATCGGTGAGAACCAGCCCCTGGACAGCCCACCTGATGAAGGGTAGGCCCAGAAACCGGTTGTGGGAGTGGAGCTTGAGTTGAGCTTTTTCCCCCGTTTACGACAAGCAAAACAATTTTCTTTTTACTTTTTATTTTTTTTCTGTACTTTCGATTTTTCTAAATTAGAAAAAATACACAGTTAAATATTATTACAATATACAAGAAAATATTATTTATTAATACATAAATATTTAGGGAAACTTTATAATATGGTGGTTTAAGGTAGGTATCATGTTGTAGGTATGTATGATGTTTACCAGTGCTTGGGGCTTATCAAAAATACAGAAGGTAAATATAATCATTCAAATATACATATTTTGATAAAAACTTCAACAGCTAATGCAATAATTAACCAGTATGAAAGTATAGCTTTTGAAAGAATTCTCAAGCCCCGTCTACACATAACCTTTTGCCTGTCAGTCTACCTGTTCAATCAAATTGTAATGTGAAACCTTATGTGTAGACGAAATAACGGTCCGTTTTACTTGAACTTAATTTTTCAGTGTATGCAAAACGACAGTTTGTAATATAAGCATCTTTAAACCGCGATTTTTAACAATGCAACATTGTTGCATAGTTTTGCAAAATAGTTATACATTTATTTTACAAAATTATAATAAAAATATTTAAAGATATTTAATGATTATGTATTACTAAACAATACTATTTTAGCAACTAGCGTTGCATGTTTACAAATGAATTGTGAATCATAAATGCAATTTTGTGGTAAAATTATGTTTTTCCTTTTCAACTTCACTATGTTATGTGTAAACGAGGCTTTAGACAATAAATGTTTATGTTGTAATGTGATATTACTAAATTTATTACTATTCTAAATTCCCCTGGTATTAAATACAAAACTTATTAACGCCCACATGTAGGTTCAACATGTTTTTTTATGGTTTTATGTTATATAAAGTCTGTCCAACAAGAGAATACATGGCAGTGACAGCTGTCTGTCATTTTAATTCATAGGTAAATAGTAGTTTTCTGCCATGTTTTGGAAGTCGCCAGCCGAAAGCCTTCTTGACTCATTGGACAGATCCCGTTCTGACCATTTCACACAAACCGTTGTAACTGACATTTTTTTACAGTAGAGCGAAAAAAAAAACGTCTTTTAGTGTGATCTAACAGGCCCTAACAACTTCCTGTAAGAGGAAAGGCTCCTATACTGTAGGAGACAAAATAAATGAAATATCTAATAAAAGTTAATCTTTAGATCACACTAAAAGACGTTTTTTTTTCTCTCTACTGCAAAATTTTCAAAATGTCAGTTACGACACTTTGTGTGGAAGGTGACGATATCTTCCACATCTCTGTTACAGAAAAAAACTATTCTATATCTGCCTTCTGTATGATTGTAACGGTTTATCGAACTACTCGGGAACGGTGCAACAGCCGACACAATCCACCTATGTTCAGCCAAGTTTAGTTAATAATTACCCCTTCTAGCTTACTGCTAAAGCTACATATGACTAACGTAAGCTTTACGCTTTAAGAAGGCTGCCGTGGCGGTCGACACGCAATTTCTTGCTGGCGAAGATATTCCTCCCTGGTCGTGACTGAAAAAACACGTCTCAAACTCAAAAAGTACAGTAAATTTAAGTATTAACACTGTCTTATAACAGGAGGATCAAGAGCTGAACGAGAAACCCTTGTTGTTTTTATAATCACTTATTAAAATAAGTAATCCCTTTAAAAATTAAAAGCGGAAATTTAAATATTACTTCTTAAGTTATCATTAAACTTACTTATTCAATTAGCATATCTACGTTATTACCAGTAAATTATTAATACAAACCTGATGTCATATTCTGCCAAAGAAAAAAATAAATATAATAGGTATTGTTTACTATTGTATTAAGACTAGGGTTTCCAAACCGGGATCCCGGAGTATATTTATCTCCGAAATCCCGATATTAAATCTCGGGATACCGAAAAATCTCGAAAAATTTAAATGCCCAATCTATAATGATTGGACTTATACACTTTAGTCTTTGAAAGATCATATTTTATTTATACTAAGCAGAACGTCAAAGTCTAACTGTTATATTTTTGTGTTTGCTATATTTTTTTCTGCAAAATTAATTTACTTACTAAATATGAATGTTACTGTTAATGTTGTTGTTTTGTGTATTTTAATAAAGCCCTTTTCTTATTTTCTTTTTGATATATATGTAGCTGCATTTTTATTAAGTAATTCTTTAGATTAAATTTCTCGACACGACTCAGACACAGACTCAGACGACAAACGTATATACGGTGTGTCAAAAAAATCAATGTAATTGATAGTTTATATTTCATACATGTCTACGAACTAAACTATAAAGATTAAAACTAAAATATAACGAGCATTCAATTTCGCTAAATATAAATATACATAAAAACGGTTTGTTTATATTTTGCTTATACAGATTATTCATTTAACTAAAAAAATATGTTTCTCTTCTCTAGTAGTTCACACCTACCATATTATCCAAAGATATAATTTTGCAAAAAAACTGTCGAAAGGTGTGCGCTGTAAAAATTTCGAATTCTCTTACCTTCTTCGTCTGTTGATGGTTTGACCGGGCAACCCGAAATATCCTCTGGGAATAACCATACGCGCATTACCCTGGGCTGGTCTGGACCCGCCATGGGCCATCAAAACAGCCAGATGAGAGGCGTATCCTTCTGTCAAGACAGTGGCTTGCGATTGTTGTTTTTTCGAAGCCTTTCCAACGATGAAGATTTGTTTAGGCTTCAGACCGATATTGGTGTAAACACTGATGTCTTTGGCGCTACCGTAAGCTGAATGAATGATAACACCGTGATTCTAAGTAGAAAAAAATACTACATTACTTACTATCAAATAGAATGATAAAGTAAAATTATAGAATACTGTGTTTTACTGTATTTAAAGGAGAAGGGGTCCTGCATTTCTTTTTCACTAAAATGACGAATACACGATTTTAGTTCAGTATTCATATTCAAAATATGCTTTGGAGGTCATTCTTCAATAGTTTTTAATTTTTCGAAATACACAATAGAACTGAACTATGATTGTAAAATTATTTCTATTTTACAGCCGCACTCAGAATCGGCCATACCGCGAACAATGTGTTTAAAAAACCGCATCACCTACTAAAACATCGAACGAGAGACGTAATCGCGGCCGAAAAGTTCGCTTACACCGGCTCGCCGCCGAACGCGAGCCGGTGTAAAACGCGTTCAAGATGTAACGAGGACAATCGCATCATTGCGCTGTCGAGATATTTTTAGCGTTTAGCATAGGTCTTACCGATATCTATAAAGTTCGATCAATACACACATTAAATATCTGTTATTGAATTTAATTATCTAAACAAACTTACTGAGAATTTTAATTTATTATAGGAGATCTCAGTGACTTTTTTAAATAAAACGTATTACAATATTTTGAAGGGATGCGACGCATCACTCGCATCAATGGAATGGAAGCTTCGCTGCTGTTAATTAGACAAATTGAAGGCTTCATTTAATAATAAAGCTTTATTCAGAACCTCGCAATTAGTGGATTAAATTAGTGGTTTCAATTAGCGTAGAAGTTTTTTCCTTTAATTTCAACAAACTTTTGACTTTTTCACTAAATATACCTCAAAACTTACGGGGAATGTCATTTTGACCTCTGATTATCATCCGTCAAGAGAAATTGTAGTTAGAAATCAAAAGTTTATTATTTTATAAGCTAAATATCTGGCTTTCTCTATGGGTACAACTGACTACCACAAGATGTTGCTAAGAAATTCTATTAATTTTAATTAATTGTGTTTTTTAGACATTGCAAATGATCGTAAACTAAAAAGTTTAAAGAGTAATCGAAACCACTAATTTATTCCACTAATTGCGAGGTTCTGAATGAAGCTTTAAATTTTAGCGTACTTAATTCTGTGTATATTGAAACTTATACCTGTATTAAATTGTTTAAATATGCTGCTTTGTGACCTAAAGGATCCGTCGATAAGCCATCGGCAAAAGAAACCAAACCATGAGGAAAATTATGTTGCGATAACCAAGATACAACTCTTCGATGTTGCATGTCAGGTCTTCCTGTTATGTATATTATCAAATACCCTAGTTCTTGCCAATGCCTAAACAGAGAAAAAATGTTTAAACCATTGAATTAGTACCACAAGTAGAGATCAGTGTTATAAAAAGACCAGAAAAGTAATAAAGGTAGATTTTTAATAATTTTTTTTCATTCTACATGAATGATAAGCACGATAAACGCAACTACCACCTTTCAGACCTTTTATAAAAACAACGGATTTGACTATTCTTTGACAACGTGGTCCATTTTCAATTTTGACACTGATTGATATCAATCAATAGAATTATAAACAGAAAAGTGCAATGACAGTTAGTCAATGACAATAGATTAGTCTGTCCAAAGAGAGGATCCCTGACAGTGACAGTTGTATTTGTTATTTTAATTTATAGGCAAATTGTATTTTCTGCCATTTTTTGCATGTCGTCTGGAAATCCCTGATTTTGTTGGACAGACTAATAGAAACAATGTGTAGTATTATACAAAATATGGCAATGATGCACACAATCTATCGAACGAAAGAGTACAACAATATATGATAGATTATTATATATAGCAAAATAAAAACACTAAATCACCACAATACACCAAAACACTTTTACTTTTACACTGGACGCGCATTTCGCTAACCATGTTAGCATCATCAGCAGATGATATTAAACTAATTCAGTTTATAATCATCTGTTAGCGAAACGCGCGTCCAGTGTAAAAGTGTTTTGGTGTATTGTGGTGATTTAGTGTTTTTATTTTGCTGTGTAACACCAAAGGTTCCAACCCTCAACTGTAATAATTATTATATATAGATAATATTTACAGGCTATATCTTTATTGCACGTTTTATTGCCCTTTTATAATATCTCTTACAAAAGTAATGTAAAAATAAGTGTTATAGTACCTAACAACGTCTACTGCGCCTGCTCGAACTTTGGGATCTCTCCCTGTCACAGAAACACTGGCAGTAAAAGAACCATCTATACTGAATACTATGCATTCTGTCTTAGGTGGTACAACAGCTAGGAAGAAGTCAACAGAAGTATGATCTCCTCTAACGATCATCTGAAAATTGACACTTATAAAAAATAGTTTAGTTATTTTTAGACAGCAGTATGTACTTTTATGGGATAAAGTCCGTATCCAACACTTTTGTCTTCAGGAATAGTATAGGCGATCCGGCCAGTTTTGTCTGTCACTTCTGTGGATAACAGTACCCATTCTCCGGACGGCGGGTCTTTCATTACGTGAATGTCGACTTTTTCGCCTGTCAAAGTTATCATGTCGAGAGGTCCATACATGAACCGCGCCAGTAGAGCCTGCGCGGCATTTTCCCGAACAATCACATCGTTAGCTCTGTGATTGGCGGCAACGTTCTATAAAAAAGACAGTGTTACGTGTCATTGGCGGTTCGTCATTAAGTGCACATGTCGTCCCCTATCTCACGTACTGGCGTAACTCATTTTTAGTAAATTTATCAGCAGAGAACAAAATAAAAAATTACCTGTATTAAACTTGAAATTTTTGAGGTGAGATAGGGGACTTGAAATTTATTCACAAAAACCTGTAAAAACCTTTGCAAAAACGTTACAGCAATTACAAAAAAATGCTGGACACATATACCTGGGTATACGAGGTTTTGGGCCTTAAGCTGAACATTGATAAAACTAAAACCATGCACTCCACCGGAATATCATAACAGTGCTATAAAAATCGGAGAACTATTGGAATATGTGGCGGAATTCAATTACCACGGCGCAGCAGTTTGATTTCGGAAAAAGCCAATATCGACTCCGAAATTCAGCACAGAATTAGCAACGCCCCGAGAGCATTCTGGAAATTAAAAGATAGGGTTTTCTACAATCATGACTTGAGCACAAAAACGAAACTTGCAGTGTACCGAGTAATAATAATCCCTACCATGTTATATGGAAGTGATACCTGGGTGCCTTACCGCCGGTACATGAACGCATTAAACAAGTTGCAACAGAGACACCTTAGACAACTGTTAAGAATCAAATGGAACCACCATGTCTCAAACATATCAGTCTTTGAAAAAGCTAGCTGCGAGAGCGCTGAAGTCATGATTACTAAATCCCGCTTAAGATGGGCTGGCCACTATGAACACCACAAAACCGCCTTCTATGAAGAACGAAATATCTTCTTTACGGTAAGCTTGTAGAGGGTAAGAGGAAACCGGGTGGACAACTCAAAAGATACAAGGATATTTTCCGTGAAAACTTAAAGGGAATAAGCATGCAGAATTAGTGGGAGGAAGCAGCGCACAATAGAAAGCAATGGAGAAGAATTGAATTGAACTCAGTCAACAACGAGAACCAAAAAGTAAAAAGGCAACAAAGTAATGAGATTTTTGAATGTCCGGAGTGTTCTGAGATTGTGCACCCCCAAATTATTAAACAACGCACCGTCACTAAAGTTAGTTACATACACTAAAGACAGAAGACACGTCATAGTAGCCATTTTGACACCTTTCTCGTCAGTTTTGTTTCAATTACTGGTGATTTTCTACGTTTGTTTCGATTTGTCTTGTTAAATTTAGAAACACTTTTATGCAAAGTGAATAAATCTGAAATATCCTGTGTATTATACTCTCTAATCGACTAACCTTTAATTTAACCGACGTCCTCTTCTTGTTCCACTTCTCTCTCGGTTGACCAGGCCTGAAAATCGACTCTCTGCCTTCGTCAGCGCCAGATACGTCAGTTCCACCCTCTATACCACCGACTTGACGTAAAATAAACGCGATGACGTCACAGCTCTCCCAGTAGCTAGCGTGGAAAAGATGAGGCAATGCGTTGGTGGGGAAATTCGAGAGACCTTCGGGGCAATACAGAGCGTAATCGAGTCGTTTGCCTCCCCACCATTTTTGTTGCACTGAAGATAATGAATTGTGAATTAAATGATCTAAGATTAGAAGTAAATATGCATAATTAAATATATGGGGCGATCAACAACGATTGAAATAGATGGCTATTTGTTTAGTTTAGTTAGTAAGCAATTCGGCTGTTATCACTAGCGTCAAAACAAACCAAAAATTAAAGAATATGATTAATTTTAATCTATACAGGGTGGTCCGAACTGTATTCCGGAAACTTCGGCAGCATATTCTGCAGATAAAAATAAGTAAAGAAGTTCGTATAAATGTATGTCCTAAAATGCTTAGTTTCGGAGATACAGGGTGTAGACATTTCAATTTTATTTTCCTAATTAAAATAATTTAATTTTTCCTAATAATTTCTCAAGTAACGTCAATATTTTGATGAAAATTGGTGTCTGCGAGTTTTTTGACAAGAGAAATTTGATTTTGATGTCCATATGACTCCTACTTGTAGAGGGTGCCACCTACATATTTTTTAACTGGTTTGATGAGTAATATACTTCGTCCATACCTGTATAAAACTACCGAGTAAACAAATATACATTTAAGACATTTTTTACGTAAAAAGGTCCCTTGGTGAAAATCGCTACAAATAATGGTACTCAAGATATTTGGAATCGAAATTATCAATACCTGTCATCATTAACGTAAATTAAACATCTTGACTAAATAGTTATTAGGCTGAAATCATAAATTTGAAATGGTTTTGTGGCACAGAAACTGTTTTATCATGATTTTTTCGAAAAAAAATTATGATTTATTTAAAAAAATAAAAAGTTCCAAAATGTATAATTTCAGTGAAATAACTATCTACTCAACATATGTTTATTTTTGTTAATAATGACATATATTGACTATTTCCATTCTAAATATCTTGAGAACGGTTGCTCGTAGCCATTTTTACCAAGAGATATTTTTTACGTAAAAAATCAAGGAAATGTATATTTTTTCACTCATTAGTTTTATACAAGTATTGACGAAAGGTTATTACTTTTCAAAACAGTTAAAACACATGTAGGTGGCGCCCCCTACAAATAGGGGGCATCATATTGACATCAAAATCAAATTTCTCGTGTCAAAAAACTCCCACACAATAATTTTCATCTAAATATTGACGTTACTTCAGAAATTATTTGGAAAAAATCGAAATAAAAACGAAACTTCTACACCCCGTATCTCCAAAACTAACATTTTAGGGCATACATTTATACGGACTTTTTTATTTATTTTCATCTGCAGAATATGCTGCCGAAGTTTCCGGAATACAGTTCGGATCACCCTGTATAATAAAAATGAAAATGGCATTTGTTAGTTGCGCTAAAGCTTGAGAACGGCTGGACCAAATGGCTAATTTTGGTCTTGAAATATTTGTAGAAGCCCAAGGAAGGTTTAAACCATCTCCCGAAACCATGTTATCATAAATTTTGCTAAAATTTTTGCCATTTTTCAAAAATCGCGAGATTTCTAGAAAACTTCCAGTTAGGTTTTAAAACAGCTCCAGTTGAACATATGATACTAAAATGTCTCGAAAATTATTAGTCCAGTCAAATATCTTTCTAGTGAAAATCTTTAACTTTTGTCATTGATGACACGTATTGCATACGATTTTTGCATGCATACGATTGCATGATGAACGGTTGCTCGCAGCATTTTTACCAACATTTTTTACGTTGAAAAAGGCTCAAATGTATATTTTTTCACTCAGTAGTGTTGTACAGGGACGGACGAAAAGTTATTAATCAAAAAAGATGTAGGTGCCGCCCCTTACAAGTAAGAGTCATATAGACATCGAAATCAAATTTCGCATGTTAAAAAAACTCCAGATACTAATTTTCATCCAAATCCCAAATTTAGTTAAGAAATTATTAGGAAAAAATCGAAATAAAAATGAAAGTTCTACACAGTGTATCTTAGAAATGAAGGATTTCAGGACATACGTTTATACGAACTTTTTTACTTGTTTTTATGTGCAGAATGTGCCGCTAAAGTTTTCGGAATACAGTTTGGACCACCCTCTATATACAAGGCTACCATTAGAGCGAGAAGGTTCAATGTCATCGTTGTTGACGCCAGATATGAAAAAAAGTTATAATTAATGTTGCATTGTTTAGAAAGGTACATGTCCTAAAAATATTTTGTTGTATACAGGGTGTACCAAAAAAAGTAATGATACTGTTGATGAGTTTTTTAAATTGTCGTTCTCATTTTTCTACACAGAATTCATTCAGCATAAAATTCTGTATATAGGGTGGTGACAATTTCGATGTTCAACATTAGCATCTCAGAAACTACTAGAGATACGAATTCGGTTAAATGGGACAAAAGTTGCGTAATTAGATGTTTGACAATCACCTATGAAGAAAACCCCGCTATCTTGATTAGTTTCGGATTTATGTCAAAAAAATGAAAAGAATACTTTTATTTTAAATGGCAATATCTTTAGAACTATTGTATCTATTGCAACGTAAGTTGGTAGGATTATATTTTAGACCTCGGCCAATTAAATGCCGTTTTCATAAAATTTCTAAGCCTTCTAGATTTCGCACAACAACAGTCAAGTTTTTGTTTTCTTATGGCCGCCATTTTGAATTTTTATACTATTAGATAGAGCAAAAAATAATCTACACGCTGGTATCTAATTTTTATTCATTAGGTATTATGTACATTCACTAAAAAAAAATAGATTTTTTAAAAAATCGCTCAAAAGATCAAGTCTGTCTTGGAAATCCAATTGACACGTTATATGACAGCAAGTTAATTTTTGTTTACTTTATTAAGTGTCAAATCTGGACACAAAAATTTATAGTAGATAGTGTAAAGTGTATTAACAGTCAACAATATGTTCACAAGAGAGGAAACACGAGATATGCATGATGCTTACTTAAAAATAATAGAAGTTCTATTTTAAATTTAAATGTTTTAATAGAAATTCTACTTTAATTTTAAATGTTCTAAATTCTATAATAGAAAAAATTAACTTTAAATTTAAATGTGTACAAAGTTTACAGTTTTTTTACATGCTGGTGATCACGAGAGAAGATTACAATTTTGCAAATGGTTTCGGGAATGTGTTCAAGAGAGCCCCCTTTTTTCTACAAAAATATTATGGACCGATGAATCTTTATTTACAAATTCTGGTACATTGAACAGAAAAAAATCACATTATTATGCAAAAGAAAATCCTCATTTAATTATAGAAACCAGACCACAAATAAGATATTCTTTGAACGTCTGGGTTGGCATTCTTGACAATAAAATTTTAGGCTCTGTATTGACCTGTATTGAATTCTACTACATAATTTTTGTGCATCCAGATTTGACACTTAATGGAGTAAACAAAAAATAACTTGCCGACATATAAAGTGTCAATTGGATTTCCAAGGCAGACTTGATCTTCAGCGAATTTTGAAAAATTCTATTTTTTTGGTGAATTTACATAATAATGAATAAAAATTAGATACCACCGTATAAACTTTTTTTCGTTCTATCTAACAGTATAAAAATGCAAAATGGCGGCCATAAGAAAACAAAAACTTGACTATTGTTGTGCGAAATCTAGAAGGCTTAGAAATTTTATGAAAACGGCATTTAATTGGCCGAGGTCAAAAATACAAACTTACCAACTTACGTTGCAATAAATACAATAGTTCTAAAGATATTGTCATTTAAAATAAACGTATTATTTTTATTTTTTTGACATAAATCCGAAACTAATCAAGATACCGGGGTTTTCTTCATAGGTGTTTGTCAAACATCTAATTACGCAACTTTTGTCCCATTTAACCGAATTCGTATCACTCGTAGTTTCAGAGATGGCAATGTTGAGCATCGAAATTGTCACCACCCTGTATAGTACATTATTTTTATTTGGAATACTCTGCATTGTTCACATGCCATTTTTTATTTACTGGAACTTTGGTTAAAAAGAGTATGTCGGAAAATTGGTTACAACCTGGAGTGAATTAGCTTTATTTTCCTATAAAGAAAAGTCAAAAAATTGACCTCATTTGCTAAATTTTATCGATCGATAATTTGTTTTGACAGCAGTACCAATCACTAATCCTAAAATACTCTAATATATTATTGGCAACTATTTCAATTATTGTTGATCGCTCTGTATATCCGTTGATACCAAAAGTGTTTAATATTTTTATTAAATAAATAACTATATTCTAAAAATTGAAATTCTATATTACAGAAAAACTATATTCTACATCGCAGTGGAAAAAAACTAGTTTAGGTTTAATATATATACTGACCTATAGCGGGTTTCATTAACAATTAGTCTACTTTAAACTAATTGAACTAAAAGAGGAGCACTTACAAGCATTGATGGTATGAAGTGGAATGGACTCAATCAAACCAGATACGGTACTTTGAATAGAAACCTCTGATAAGCGTCTAGGTTGAGCTTGATCGTTAAACATTTGAGGGTTAGTTTGTAAAATTTCCACTAGAAAAACAGACACAACAGGCGGTTAGTGGTTTTACATATATTTAAATGGTTTAACTACATGCCATGCTAACATTTCTAATAAACATTCAACAAAAATTCTAGTCTTACCGAGATCGAAGTTAATTGATTCATAACGCACCTCTTAAAGGAATAAATAAACATAGAGGGCTTTTAAATATGAGCGTCATGCCAAATGCGATCGCCTTCTCTCTTGAGATAGACGCGCCAGTGCTAGAGACATAAAACGCTTAGGAGACGATGCCCGTAGCCTTTTTTTAGCGTTTTTGTTTATATATTGTAATGTTGCCACGTTAATTGTTAATTTATAATTATAGTTGCTCAATAAACTGACCATTGTCTGTATGACGATTTGGTAGGATACATCTTGTAAAACAATCTAACATAGTATCGCGTCCTATTAGTGTTGCCAACTTTCCGAAATAAAATTTCCCACGAAGATGGTCAAAAACATAATTGAGATAATAAGCTTAATTATAATATTGATAATAAACTGATCCGACGAAGCGAATGAATTAAACGAGCCAGGGAAGATTTCGACAGACTACATACAAAAAATTACAGGATAGACAATTTGCTTGTGAATTAAAATGACAGACACAACTGTCACCGTTATGGATCTTCTCGCTGGACAGACTATAACCGTCTAGGCGGTCAACACGCTGAGTTAAAGCGAAATTTTGTCTTTACCGAGTTATCATTATAAAGGGTTCAATTTACTCAGTTTGCTGAATGCGTATACGATAACTATTTTTTTACGAATAATACATGAACTTGAATTCATGTCTTCCCTTTTCACTCCGAATCACGAAACTTCCCACGAATCGGGATATTTTCCACGAGTTGGCATCTCTGTCACTAATAAAGCCGGTCTGTTTTTTAAAACGATTTGTTTATACAACTGTTATTTAGAAATAATAGTTTAAATAATAGTTATTTGGAAATAACAGTTATTATCCTTAAAAAAATAAAATAACAGTGCACTAGCAGCAACAATTCACAAGTCAACTTCAAACATTCCAACTGTTTTTTTTAAGAATAACAGTTCATTTGATATTTAGAAATAAGTTCCAACTATTATTTGGAAATGCTCTTTAGAAATACCAGTTTATCTGTTATTTAGAAATATCAGTTCCAACTGTTATTTAGAAATAGTTTTGCCCATCGCTCTTCCTTAACAATCTGTCCCTGTTTTTCCTTTTACTTTAATATAGCCATGTTGTAATTGGATACAAACCAATGTTATTCATATATTAGGACGCCTCTATATTTACTTATTTTACTGAGGTGCATAGAATCAAACGAGTATTTTGTTATGTTGTTATGCATATCAATGATCAAAAAATTGCCAAAAATTTTATCGCAAGTTCAGCTACCAAAATAATTTAGATTTAGGCTTCAGAACTACAAAAAAAGCTACTAGAAAACATCTAACTACTGTTTCTAATAAATTTAGTAGAATTAAATACTTTTTTACTTACGTAAGTGATAGGGTTGACCATTTCCTAGTGGATATTTGGCATACCTTGGAACGTTGACAGGAGGTAAGATTGAAAATCGGGCAGAAATCAATGGTTCCAATCTAGAAGCTACGGGATCGGTTGGATGGAACAAATTGTAAACTTGAAGACAATATGGACGGGTTATGTTGCCTGTAACGATAAACAAATGTTACTAGTAGAAATGACCTTAACAGACGGTCGCTGGTTACTTTTAGCAGCGACTTAAGTCACCGGGACCGTTGGGACTCACCGATACAAAATACCGCTCGTCTTAATCAGAGTAAGTAAACCGACACTTACTCTGTCTTCCTCTGACGATTCCATTTGCAACTTGCGCTACGAGCCGAAACGGTGACCGGGTGTATCGATATATGGTGCCAGCGACCGCTGGATAATTTTTACTTCTTTTATACTGATGTATTACATTTTATATGATTCCAAGAATAGGCTGTGATAGTAGATCCAAGAATTAGTGAGTTATAAAAATTAAATGAAGAATAAATAAATAAATCATATAATACGCTCCCCTGCATTTTGCAATACATCGCCTGTCCCACATTTTACCGTTGGGCTCTGTTTGCGCCAAGATTCGATGCGGCGACCAGGGACCGGTGACCATAGCGGAGTCACCGTCGGCGTCGATAGTTTTTTTGTTCATCGCAACGACTTTTTCAACGCTGCTTGCCGGAGAAATAGCTCGCTGGTATTACCGGTGACTAAGAACTCACCGGTACAAAAAATATCGCTCATCTCTAGTTACTACAGTCTAATCCAACGAGAAAACACAGGTCAATGACGGTTCTTGTCTAATATTTTAATTCAAACGTAGATTGCTTGTCCTGTCTTTTTAAGATACTTTCTGCGTTTCTCTGAGTTTGTTTTATGTAATTTCTTATTCATTATATAATTGATTTTATACAAAGTGTATAAATCTGAACAAAAAAGTGCCAAGAGGCTTCAAAAAGTTACCTACCTGATTTTTCATCAGGTGTAGCTATCTTTCTATAGGCCAGCACCAAAGCGAGGGGACTACCAAACATGAAGAAATCACTAACGTCAAACTCAAGTTTGATTTGTGAGTAGTCACAAGTTGAGGAGGATCTTCTCCTAGGGGGCGGAGCAGTCAGAAATGTATCCATATTCGTATAATCGTCTAAGAAAAATTACGTAGAAACAAAAAAAATAACAATAAATATAATAATACAACCAAACCATTTCCGTTTAATCATCTCATATAGTCTGTACAATGATCGTTCAACGTTATGTCATCATTATTTATCAAGATTCGATATCTCGTTACGGTATTAGTAATTGAAGGCGTTCCGATTTTATTAGTTTCAAGTACGTACGTATGGTCCCGATTCATTATCGTTTTGTTTCAATTTACTGCATTTATAATTTCCACATACCAGTTTTAGTCATAATGCCGTAACGATGTCTACAATATATTTCATACCGTTTTCACGTAATAGAAAGAATAGGACAATGTATGACGTAAGGTTGACTGATGATTGTATAGATTTTACTAAAGTATTTTTCAAAATGTAACAATAAATGATTTAGATAAGTCATTCAGTATGTTGAAACGTTGTTAGAAACGTGTATTTTTTACTGCCAATTTTTGAGTATATTTTTTATAATTATTTATTTAATATGTAACAATCAAATAATATATCAGAATATTGATGATTTGTACAAGAAAATAAGTATTATACCTTTGTGATCATTATCCAACATACTATTTTCGCTGCCATGTCTAGACGTGTATTTGTTATTTCTGCACAAAGCGTCATAACCTAATATAGAACCCAACGAGTCGGCAACGAAGCAAACTTGACCAGAAAACCCATTGCCTTCTTCTGATCTCAGAAACTCTGAAAAAAATCTTCATTTTTGTTTCAGTTTATCACAAAATTTAGTAAGTAAATTAAGTCTGAAAAAAAAACACTTTTTCAGATATTTTGAGAACTGTTATTCCGATTTGAATGACATTTTTGGTGTCTATGTTTTGATAAGTGATCTAACATTTGACTTTCACAAAAATCAAGAAAAAGTACGGAAACGGTAAAAATTACCCCCACCCCTACATAAATTTTAGTATAAATATTTTCCAACCCCACCGACACGCGACGGCCGATTTTCTTTTCGTAAAATTGCCTCTCTAGTATTTGCTACATTTTTTGTCTCGTCAAAAAAAACGCCACCGTGCATACTTTTTAAGGAAATAAATTATTTTTCCAAAGCTGACTTCTAAAAAATGTTTTTGTCACATCAACCTATGGAGGCGCATAAAATATATTATGTTGTAATAATCTAGTTGGCGAAAATATGGAATTTTATGTTAGTATCACAAATTATAGTTGACAATAAGCATCATAAAAAGCTTAAAAAAATGAACAATTTTTAAATTAATTAACTTTCAGGTTTATTTTTGATTGATGCCCTCTAACGGACAAACGAAGCATTTTTGTATAAAGGTAAATTATATGCAATTAACTTATTTTGATCCAAAAAATACGCAGTATGTCCACGGAATATTGGAACTCTCTGTATATTTTGTAGGTCCGCTTTGAAAAAATAAATTCTCAAATTTTTTTTTCACAAAAACTATGCGACATGGTGTTTTTTACAAGAGACAAAAAATGTAGTAAATACTAGGGGAACAATTTACGAAAAGAAAATCTGTCGTCAAAGGTGTTGGAAAATATTTATACTAAAATTTATAGAGAGGTGAGGGTAGTTTTCACCCTTACCGTACTTTTTCTTAATTTTTGTAAAAGCCAAATGTTAAAGCACTTAGCAAAATATAGACACCCAAAATCTCATTCAAATCGGAATAACGGTTCTTAAAATATTTGAAAAAGTGTGTTTATTTTTTTAAAGTTTGATGCCCTCTAGCGACAAACGGAGCACTTTTGTATAGAGGTAAATTGTGTCCAATGAACTTATTTTGATTCCAAAAATACGTAGTAGTTCTATGTCTAATATTGGGACACCCTGTATATTAAAGGATATTATTTATGTAAGTATGAAAACAATAAAACAAGAAAAGAAGTAAAAATAAAAGCTTTAAGTAGATTTATTTAAAATGTCAAAATACCAAAGCTTTCATATTTAAGAAGTATCCAGTGGAGAATAATACCAAAGAGTAGATAAGACAAGAGACGACAGTGAACAAAGAAGTCGAATTTCGCGAGAGAGACGCAGATATATTAAAATTTAAAGGTCCCATCAAGTCCTATTTTGTCTGTTGCCAAGTATATTTCTTCGAAAAATAAACAAGATTTTCTGAAAATAAATTAATAATATAAGAAGGATATAAGTAACGTATGTTAATACGGAAATGTAAATTTTTAGTTTAGGTTGGTTTAGGTTATTTTTTTGCAATGTACTGATAATATAAAAGAAACAGAATGACTAAGTTGATCGATTTCAAAGATAAACAGATAAAATCTGAAAATCTGACAACGGCGTATTTTATTTATGCTAACCTATGATTTTAGGACGCTAATCAGCTGTGCTAATCAGGCTTAAACATAAACAAATCTTTTTAAAGTGTGTTTTCAGAGTTTTTCGATATATTATCGTTTTGTGAGTTTTTAAGGTTTAATTTTAGTATCGTTTTTGTTGCGTACTAATTTGTAATTATTGTTAAATATGAATACTGAACAGGACCAGAGTAGCAAAAAAAGACGAATACCGGTGGCAATGTGTGTGCTTATAAAGACTGCAAAAATAGGTCTTATTCTTCGACAAACATAATATTTCACTCTTTTCCAAAGGATCCTGAATAGTATTTTTATAGAAATATACTATATAATTATGTTATTAAACTAAATGTAATCCATAGATCGAAGACATGGTTAGAAGCTTGTAATATATTTTTACAAAAAAAATTGAGCAACTCTATTTTTTTGTACATAAACTCCACATTGTGATATTACACTTGTTCAAGTCCATATGTAAAAAAATACACTTAAATAAAACATTTCTTACAAATCGACTTGGTGACTATCTTGTTTACCAACGATATACAAAATATTGCTTTTATTATATTAAATATGTTTCTAATTATAATTTATTTTATATAATATTTAGAAAATCATTTTTTTTCGTTACTATTTATTTCTTTACCCATACAGTAACTATTTATAAGCTATATAAGGCAAGTTTTAATAATAGACTATTTCAAATTTCCCGCGAAAAAATTACGAAAATTTAAAGGGACAAGCGAGAGGAGGTCACTCTCCCCACCACTCAAACATGAAAGGTACCGCCCGAACTGTCGTCTCTTGTCTTATCTACTCTTTGATAATACGCAAATAACAAATTTAATATGACATCTCTGTATCGGCGGATAAAATTATTTAAAGATAGCCCGTCTAACCTTGGAAAACATTATTGAATTTACCATGAAAATGTTGATGATATTGATTGATTTTTTTGTATAAAACATAAAAACGAAAAAGAAAATTAGAGAAATTATTATATTTAGCTTTATTTACCTTGATAAGCAGTATTAGATGCATTGATTGTCCGTGATACAGCTTCCTGATGATCAGAATTAGCAGTAGCTAAAATAGGAATAGCCCCAATGGGAATTGAGTCATGTGTCACTTGGGGCACGTCTACGCATGACGGAGACACGTCAAAACTATAAGGGCTAAGACTAAAAAAAACATAACTTGCGTTATACCAAAGAATTCAATTAAATGACTAATGATTTGCTTACCTAGATAATATACCTAAACTCTCTGTACATATTGATGGACACGACACTAATCTTATTGCTATATGCCCCACCAATGATGGATAGTGCTGCCGCATCACCGACTCGAACGCACCCTTGAATGTGGTGACGTCAGACTTCTTGGCTGCCATATCAACGTTTGCGTCTGAACAAAAAAAAGTAAATATTAGTACAAAATTGCAGTACAATGATTTCCGTAAATGACAACAAAAAGTTCAATTTCCAAACGGATTATCATTGGGTTCATCGACGCCATGAGCCATCCTGTATCTCTTACCGTTTCCGAGATCTCAGTGATGAGAGCCGAATTTGAAACACCCGGTATAAATAGTTCTGTTTCCTATAAACAATTATGCTTAACTTAAAAAAATTGTGTGTGCACTATGTGCGTATATTTGAAGTGAAACTTCTTCCTACTTCCGTCTGTTTGTCTGTCGCGTTCTGAGTTGGTTCCAATTCAATCCCGTTCCAATCGACCCATAATTAAGAAAAATCCTGATAATTTCGTCCATTTAGGGGTATCGTGCATCGGTTCGAAACGTCGAGGGCGCCATACGGTAGCCCAATTACGCCGAAATCGTCCCACATTTTTCTTCAATATCGAATCGTTAGTCCCACCCTGATGAAGATGTAAACGAAACGTCGCGTCGTATCCAACTTTGCAGGGTTGGACCGTGTGCACCGTCGCTTACATTGCTTACCCCCAAATTTGGTCGCGATCGGACGACATCAACTCTTGACGTTTCTTACGTCAAAACCAACTGTCATAGTAACACGTGTCGTACACGGTCAAGTTGGCCTTGGTCCAATCTATCGACATACCGAATTTCATTTGAATCGGACGATTCAAGACGACAAATCACCGCAGTTAAGCGACGTTAGACGATGCAAGTGGATGGACGCGTGACCGTTTGAAAAAGCTGTCGTGTTCCACGGTAAAAGTGTAAAATCTACCGACACACAATGCTTGAGGCCGGATGAGACCGGATATCTCGTAAGTAAGAGTCGATTAGGCCAAGTCGGTAGGACATTGACTATGATATGTCCGAGGACCGTGGTTCGGATTACGCGTAAACAAAGTAGGCCCCGTCCAGATTACCCTTAGCGGCAAACAAGCCTTAGACGTTAAACACTTTTTTTTAAGTAATTTACTACTCACCTAGTACGCTACCCGCATGAAGAACTAAAATTAATACTGTGGTGTTGCATGGAACCTGAGAGTTCATGGCACTAGGGGAGTCTGGCCTAGAAGCGTCTAGAGAGTTAACTTTGCCCCTTTGCAGTACCTTACGCATCCCCCGTTCACTAGCAACCCTTTGAAGGAATGTTGAAGAAAATATACTGTCATCTGTTTCATCTGGAATTATTATAAAAATGTACATTGTATGTTTCGGATTTAAATTACAAGAATTTACCATTTTTAATGTTGTCTACAATAGTAGGGGATGTAGAGTCTAGATCTTCCTCAGTTAGAAGATCTAAGGAGCTCCATTTTGCCAAAGATGAAGAATCTAAAAAATTTCTATAATTTTATTTTTATTAGGGTACGATCAACAATGATTGAAATAGTTGGCAAATTTGGTACTGATATACAGGGTGTCCCAGATTGAGCGTGCATTAGAAGTTTCCAGAGAAGTACAACAGCTAGCTCGGAGATTTTTTGCACATCATAGTTTCACAACGAGATCTATCGATTAAAAATATTTTCAATATAGCGGCACTACCGGAAATACCGGAAGTTGACAGCAACTTTCCTATTTTAAATGGGTATCCTCGTTTTTTATTGCACACTTAAATTCTCTGTAAAATTATATGAATTTTGAAATCAAACACTCTATACTTCACAACCGTTTTTGAGAAAAAATATTTAAAATTTTTGGAGGAAAAAGACTGCCTGTCAAAAAAATCGGTATAGCCTAAACTACAAATTTAGTGATTACCACAGCCACTGTGGCATAAAGAGAGGACATGTGGCTATTTATTTTAAAAATTAAATTGTTCAAATGTCATATAATATTGGCCGTAGCTGTCATGGAATTGAGCGATTAAAAAATTATCATAAATCATTTTTTTTTCAAATGGAAACCTACTTTTTTTATTTCACTAGTGAAAATGTTTTTTAATTCGTTACTTTTTGATTATACATGTTCCTATATCTAAAATAAATCGTTTTTAAGTTATTTAAGATTTAGTTGTAAAGCGTAATTTTTCTTGATTTTATGTAGCTTCCTTTAACATTAAATGTCAAACCATCAGACAATTTATTTCCTCCTGTCAAAAAAATTATTACTTGAATTTCGTATATTATAAATAAATACTGCTGGTAAAACTTTATAAAGTGTATTTATAAAAATATATCTCGTATTTTGTACTAATGCCAATATGTCATGGCCAGATATACTTTTACATCGCGTGACATTTAAAGTCATAAGCTACTGGTTGAAAAACAAAAAAATATACCCTTTAAAACTAAATCTTAAATAACTTAAAGACGATTTATTTTAGGTATAGGAACATGTATACTCAAAAAGTAATGAATTAAAAAACCTTTTCACTAGTGAAATAAAAAATGTGGGTTTCCATTTGAAAAAAGTGATTTATAATAATTTTTTAATCGCTCAATTCCATGACAGCTACGACCAATATTATATGACATTTGAACAATTTAATTTTTCACATGTCTGCTCTTTATGCCACAGTTGCTGTGATAATCACTAAATTTGTAGTTTAGGCTATACCGATTTTTTTGACAGGCAGTTTTTCTCCTCCAAAAATTTTAAATATTTTTTTTCTCAAAAACGGTTAATGTTAGATATAGAGTGTTTGATATCAAAATTCATAAAATTTTACAGAGAATTTATGTATGTAATAAAAAATGGGGGTACCCATTTAAAATAATTAAGTTGCTGTCAACTTTCGGTATTTCCGGAAGTGCCGCCATATTGAAAATATTTTTAATCGACAGATCTCGTTGTGAAACAGTGATGTGCAAAATATCTCCAATCTAGATACTGTAGTTCTCTAGAAACTTCTAATGCACACTCAGCCTGGGACACCCTGTATAGGGTACTGATATTAAACAAATTATAAATGTAGAATTTCGTACTACTAAATTCAAATGTATTTTATTGAATATTGGATACCTTCTAACAAACATTTTTTGGAATAAACTATAGTTTATGATACCTTAATTATTAGTATGCTTATAGAGGAGCTCATAAACTAACCTATATTTCTTAATACATTTATTTAATAATTAAATTAGAGAACTTCCAGATTAAATCCATTTATTTCTGATCTTGTTTTGATTAGTCTCACATTATTATTGAAAACTAATTTAAATATCGTCAAAAAATTAATCATATTCAAATCTTGGTTTGTTGTGACGCTAGTGATAACTGATAACAACCGATAAATATTCGAATTTCTTATATTTATTGCCAACCAAACAAGAAAAGAAGCAAAATCAAAATAGCCAACTATTTATAATTAATAACCTAATATACATTACCTGAATTTTTTGATTGCATGATAATTTAATGGTAATTTTTTGGAAATAGATATTTGCTGATATCTAATAAGTTACTAATTGATTAACCTAAAAACAACTTAAAATTGGCTTACCTTCACAATCAAAAAATTCTTCATCAGAAGGGGACTCAGAATCTCTCCCCAGAGCCTCTATCCTCCAATTGGCCACTTGCAAGTCAAAACTTTTGACAGAAGCCGAACTGGGGGAGTGCAAGTTGCGCGACTGCTGCCATTTTTCGTCTCTTCTGAAAAACCGACTGTCAAAAAAAGATATACAGGGACATAAAAAATAAAATGTACTTGATGGTTAAAGTCATGTGCTCCTCTTCTGAAACATCTCCGTCAGAACTTGCAGCGGTTTGTATGGTTGGAACGTTAGAAGTTTTGGTTAGGAGGGGACTATCTTCTGATACTTCTATACTGCCTAAAGTTGCTGCTAAAGTTTTACAAGGATCTTCTTTTGCTGTGCTACTATTCAGGTTGTCGTCCTCATCTAGAAATGTAATAATAAAAATATTTCCCACCGTACGTGTCTCTACTTTGTAGAGATTGCTTTTTAAATATAGAATATTTAAAAATATTGAAGTTTGATTTTTTCTAAAGCAAGATTCCATTGCAAAACTTTTGCTATCAAAGTGAATCACTCCAAGTAAAATCATTCTTGTTTACATATTTTTGATATAGTTCGCTGTTTTCCACTGCCACTGTTCTCTATTTCGTGTCTCTGTAAAGGTACAAGGAAACTTTACGGACAAAGACATTGGCGCGAAGATCCATTTTCCAGGTTAATATCGATCTGGTACAGGGGGTAGGATATCTCGTTCGAGAAGAAATACAAATATCATAATGATAATAATGATGAATAGTTTAGTATTTATTAGTTTGAAGTAAAATATAATCTAAAACCACCAATAGTAAACCTAAAAAACTACGACAAAGATTCGACTGGTAATTGTGAAGTGAACTAAAAAATAAAGAAAACCTTTTCACTTTTCACTCAGTTTTTATAATAATAATAATTCTATATTTGTATTAACATAATACGGTCATTCCAACATTGTTGCAACATAACAGATTACAGTATGCTTACGCTTATGGTTTGTGAACCGATTTCGGAACGGTGATACACAGTCCAAATCAAAAAAAAATTGTATAGACTAAATGTCAAATTTAGTGATTACCACAGCCACTGCAACAAAAAAAGAAGACATGTGGCTAACTATTTCAAAAATTAAATTGTTTCAATGTCATATAATATTGGCCGTAGATGCCATGGAATTGAGAGATTAAAAAATTATCATAATGTATTTTTTTCAAATGAAAACCCTCTTTTTTATTTCACTAGTGAAAAGGTTTTTTAATTCATTACTTTTTGATTATACATGTTCCTATACCTAAAATAAATCATTCTTAAGTTAAGTTATAGAAGATTAAGTTTAAAGATTTAGTTAAAAAGATTAGTTTAAGTTTAGTTTAGATTAGATTCAGATTTAGTTTTAAAGCGTATTTTTTTCTTGATTTAATCTAGCTTCCTTTGACATTAAGTGACAAACCATCAGACAATTTATTTCCTTCTGTCAAAAAACTAATTATTTGAATTTCGTATATTATAAATACTGCTGCTAAAACTTTATAAAGTGAATTTATAAGAATACATCTCGTATTTTAGTAATATCTAATGGCAATATGACATGGCCAGATATAGTTTTACATCGCTTGACGTTTAAAGTCATAGGCTACTGGTTAAAAACCAGAAAAATATAGGCTTTAAAAATAAATCTTAAATAACTTAAAATCGATTTATTTTAGGTATAGGAACATGTCGTATAATCAAAAAATGAATTATAAAGTCTTTTCATTAATGAAATAAAAAAGTAGGTTTCCATTTGAAAAAAAATATTTATCATTGTTTTTTAATCTCTCAATTCAATGACACTGGCCGACTTACAATGGCCGTTATTATATGACATTCAAATAATTTAATTTTTGAAATAGATATCCACATGTCTTCTCTTTAGGTCCCAACGGCTGTGGTAATCACTAAATTTGACGTTTAGGCTATACAAATTTTTTTGACCGGCAGTTTTTTTCCTCCAAAAATTTTAAATATATTTTTTTTCAAAAACGGTTAATGTTAGGTATAAAGTGTTTGATATCAAAATTCATAAAATTTTACAGAGAATTTAAGTAAGTAATAAAAAATTGAGGTACCCACTTAAAATAAGAAAGTTGTTGTCAACTTCCGGTATTTCCGGAAGTGCCGCCATATTGAAAATATTTTTAATCGATAGATCTCATTGTGAAACAATGATGTGCAAAAAATCTCCGATCTAGATATTGTAGTTCTCTAGAAACTTATAATGCACGCTCAGCCTGGGACACCCTGTATATAAATTTGTACTTCATGTCAGCTGACTATTGTTTTTTTTAGTTGTTTGACCAAATAAAACCAGCGATGAAGAGGACAGTAATTTGAGTCTGTGGATACCACTGAAAACGATTTAGAAGTTTTGCGAAATGAATCAAAGGTAATTTCATAATTTAAATCCAACAAAATCAACAATTCATAATTTATATCGAAACTTAAATTAACAATGAAAAATTAGATTATGAATTTGACTCTAAAATTAGTTCACAAATCGTTCCAACCCGAATTTAGTGTTGGTATCGTAACAGTACAAATCCGATCCCGCGTTGGGATGAACCTAATGTACACACAGGTGTACTCTGGATGAATCATCGAAACGGGGAACGAGTCTTTCATCAAAAGTTGGTTGGGGGTGAAACTGTTTAGTCTCAATCTTTAGTCACTTTGGATGAAACCAAAATTCGAGGGAATACACACTTGTCACTTTGGACGATTGCTCCAAGGTAAATCATTAAAAGTTACAAATGTAAATGAGTGTCATGTTTCACTCTGCGTGCAATGATTTCGTTGTCGCACGGTATATACGAGTACTATTTCTCTTACCTATTTCGTCGTCTTCCACTTGTCCCATTTTCCTCTTGAGAGCTAATTGCGTCTGTTTCTCTATTTCCCTGATGTCTGCCATTGTCAGTCCATGCCATTCGTCTTGCCAGGCCCAAGCCTGACGATGAGCTCTAAGCATAGTCTTCCTAAGAGCTGGAATGGAAAATTATAAAAGCCTAATAAAACAAATCGAGAATTCAAATCAAGTATTTTGAAAAATAGGAAAATATTAGTCTTCAGTAAATAAAGCTCTCTGGCAAATTTGCTTGTCTATTACTTTCTTTGCTTTGTTTTGTTACTTTGCTCAGAATATGAAACAAATTTAACGTTTAAGTTCGTATAAACGGATAATTCCATATACAGGGTGTGTAGAACTTTTTGGTAGTGATGTAATTCGCTCGAATACTAAGAAGATGAAATAAATTGAAATTCTATTTTTATTTTAATGTGAAATACTCGATACCAAGCGAGCGAATTTGCTACATACTAGTACATCGCAGGTGGCAAATTTTATATCAGTATTTTTGGTAAAATATTTTCAAACAAGAGATGTTTTTTTATTCAGGCCGCATAGTTACCTATAAAACTATACAACGTTATGGTTAAGACGGTCGCAAACTTATACAATATTTGTCGAGGACATTTTTTATTTCAATTCGTTATGAACCCCTCTCCCACAGAATGAGTGGCAGAGGGGTTAATCACCGCGACCTTAAAGATCTATTGTGTCCCCCTTTCTTGAGTTATAACCCATCATACAGTATATAACTCATCATACATGGGGATTTTCCTGTTTTAGGGATGACAGGATATTTCCCCATTCCTCCACACCAAAATTAATATTTATAAGAGCTGCATCAGACCAATAATGACATATGGCAAAGAAATACGAGAGGAAACATAGAAAACCAAGAGCTGGTTAAAGGGTTGCTGAAATGAAGAATCTAAGAACCAATAAAAACGCATGGAAGAAAACAGGCTACCACGCATACCTCTTGAGAGAAAACCCATGGGTAAGAGACGGCCGGGAAGACCTCCAAAAAGATGGAAAGGCAGTTGCCGCAGTAGGCAGCCTATCTCCCAAGAACTCCTAGAGAGGCAACCTTAAAACTAACAGATCAACTAGATGTCAAATATGTAGAAGAAGAATAAGCTATCTCGTTTTTAAAATACAACAGAATTAATGACATTAGACTGATAACATTTAAATTAGTTTTATCTTCTTAAGAATCGACTTTAAATTTGGAGGTTCACACACACACACATGTGAACTTATTGAGAAACCGGAACTGTGAAGAAAAACAAAACCATGAGCGATTATAGATATATAATGCATGAAATTGAAGGTAAAATAATGAAATTTTAGTCTTTATATTATGACCTTTATAAATGCTTATATTAAACCCAGCTCCCTTTCTAGCAAAGTACACGCCCGAAAGGGTAATTTAATAATTCATATAGTTCCTTACCGACGTCGTGAATGAACTTTTCAATCTTCGTCTGCATGCCCCAGTATCTGAACTCTACCCTGCACAACTTGTAGGCGCACATCATAGCCCTGCCCTCGGGGGTGGGCTGCGCTTTGCCCTGAACGTCCTGCCAGTATTCTTCTACCCAATTTTCGGACAGAGGTCCCCTACCTGATTTTTCCGAAACGTAGAGCAAAGGGTCTTCATTTCGCACGTAGTCAGTTCCGTAGAGTTGATCACGCACGAAATCGATTATATCTGAGGAGAAAAATAACTTCAAAGTTCATTCTTGGAGTATAATAAAAAAGAAAGAAGTAGAACTACGAATTATACAGATTACAGATACAGAATTATACTTCAGACAAAATAATATTTCTTCAAAAAAGTCATATTTGTATTTCGCCACTGTAAGGAAATCTACAAAATAAAATAGAAACTTTTTGTAAACAATGCTGCGTTAATCCAAAGGAGACTAATTTGTCAGCCGTGGTTTACTAATAAATAAATTTGCCTAACCGACAAAAAATGCTTAATGTTTCGAGAAGTATAAAAAAAGCTTCCGTTGTCGGAAGCAAAAAAACACAAAGAACAAAAAAAACTATTTAAAATATCTAAATACAACTATTCAAGAACACTTTAGATTTTTTTCAATAGATACGTTAATAAAAAAAACCTTGACGTTCTGTTAAAATACGTTATTACGTCAACTGTTATTATGTTTTACTTGATACAAACACTTGACTGAACAAGTCCGACGCAGTGGCGTATCCACGGGGGGATAATGGCTTATACCGTATGATCGAAAAAAAACGGCGTCCAGTTGGCTTGGAAATGATGATCGATGACATTTCCCATATAATTTTACATATAAAATGACAGCGATCTTCACTTCATAGCCATCGTTGACGCCGTTTTTATTCGATCATACGGTATACGGTATACTCCCAGAAGGTCCAAATGCCCATCAAACTTACAAACATAAAAATATGATAATAGAGAATAAAAAATACTTCCAAATAAAAAATAAGTACATAATATGTGAAGCACAAAAACATTTTTAAAGGTTTTATGTATTTGCTGATAGAGGAGACAGAAAATGATAGCGAGTCTTATAATGACCTTTTAGATTTATTTATAGCTAACCTAAATATTATTTTAAAAACAGAAATTACATTGTGGCACATTTATCTAACTAGCCACCCCGATGTAACGTCAAACGCATTCAGAATTGTGCAACAGACAACCTTACTCTAACGTGTACCGAATGTTATTGATATTTTGTACAATACCAGTTTCCACAGCCACACCGGAAAGGGCATTTTCAACATTAAAGCGAATAAAGACGCATCTTCGAAATTGCACTTCTCAAAATAGACTTATGGACTGGCAATGATGCCTATTCATAAAAAGTTACCTATTTCGTAAAATGAAATTATAGATGAACTGGCAAAAAGACCTAGACAACTAGATTTTCCCTTATAAAAAGCCATTTTTAATTTAAAAAAATTACATTTATTCTCTATTATACCCCCTAAGGCTAAAATGTCTGGGTACGCCACTGGAGTACGACATAAAATACAACTTATGTGTAGAAAGAGCTTTAAAAGGCGTCAATTTAAATTGAAACATTGCAAATGCATGATGGACCGATGACGAAACAAGAAATTAATAACTTTGATCCAATAATCTGACCAGATTCACCTGACTTAAGGTAAGTTGATATGATGATGCCACACATAAGTGATGGCCTTCTCTTAAAGTGGTGCCGGTTTTACTCACCTACAATACGGTTTCTAAAATCGCTCCCTGTCAAATGAAAAACGTTATCCTGATGACCGTTGTCTGGAAAATAGTACGTTTCGATTTCTAAGTAAAACTTTTCCACGAAGGGACACGTGTATCTTGTTTTGGTGTATGGATATGCGTTCCAAGCTTCCTCTTCTACCATCAGGGCGGTTTTGGGTAAAATCCCTTTAATCCATCCTATAATGAAACAAATATTTAATTTTAAGGCTGTATTTTTGTAACAGGAATATTAATAAAAGAAAGAAGCTAAAAAAAGAAGTTCCTATTCAAACTGGTGATTTTAGCGACTTCAGTAATTGTTCAATGATTTCTTTCAAAATAAAAAAAAACAACAACAAAGGATTATATTAAGTATGTGGATCAAATTGTAAATAAACAAACGATTTGTTTACATATACAATGTATATGTTAGATTGTCTATATCTCAACACATAAAACATAAGATTAAGGTACAATTTACCTGGAAGATGACTTCCCACATGATAGATTTTCTTAGTGTACTGTCCCTGTCCACCAGGACCATCTTTGTAAGGTTCGTTTATTAAGATTTCAACACCGCTGCCTTGTCCACTACTTTCTTCGCGACTTTTTTTCTATTATAATTGAAAAATAAAAATAAAGCCTCAAAATAGTTATTTATGCAACTATAATAATATAATATTGTATAGTCTGTCCAACGAGTCAGGAAAGATTTTCACCGACGACATCCAAAAAATTACAGAAAATACAATTTACATGTGAATTAAACTAACGCAACTGTCCGTGTCCAGGATCCTCTCGTTGGAGAGACTAGGTAGGAAACAGACTAGTTTGTGTAACAAAATGAGTTTGGACGCAATGGACATGAGTTACATACACATAATAATGTGTTTCCTAACGTGGTGCATGCAATATTTAATTATATTTAATTTGAGTATGCAAGTCATCTAAAAAACATATGACACTATATCAAATTATTATAGTGACAACAAATTTACCTGTCGCTATGTTTTTAGATTTAAGATCTTCAGGAAATTCAAGAGTAATTACAGGGTGGTCCGAACTGTATTCCGGAAACTTCGGCATTATATTCTGCAGATAAAAACAATTAAAAAAGTTCGTATAAGCGTATGTCCTAAAATGCTTAGTTTCGGAGATACAGGGTGTAGAAGTTTCATTTTTATTTCGATTTTTTCCAAATAATTTCTGAAGTAACGTCAATATTTGGATAAAAATTGGCGTCTGGGAGTTTTTTGTCATGAGAAATTTGATTTTGATGTCAATATGACTCCTATTTGTAGGGGACGCACCTACATGTGTTTTAACTGTTTTGAAGAGCAATAACTTTTCGTTCGTACCTATATAAAACTACTGAGTAAAAAAATATATGTTTCCGTAACTTTCTACGTAGAAAATGTCTCTTAGTAAAAATCGCTACGAGCAACCGTTCTCGAGATATTTAGAATGGAAATAGTCAATACATGTCATTATTGACAAAAAAAAACACGTTGAGTAGATAGTTATTTGACTGAAATAATACATTTGGGAAATTTTAATTTTTTTTAATTAATCATAAATTTTTCTGCGAAGAAATTATGATAAAACAGCTTCTGTTGAACTTATGGCACAAAAATATTTCAAATTTATGATTTTAGTCTAATAACTATTTATTTAGTCAACATGTTTAATTTATGTCAATGATGACAGGTATTGATAATTTCGATTCCAAATATCTCAAGAACCATTACTCGTAGCGATTTTTTCCAAGAGACCTTTTTTACGCAAATGTATATTTTTCTATGCAGTAGTTTTATACAGGTACGGACTAAAAGTTATTACTCTTCAAATCAGTTAAAAAATATGTAGGTGGCGCCCTCTACAAGTAGAAATCATATTCACATTAAAATCAAATTACTCATGTCAAAAAACTCCCAGACACCAATTTTCATACAAATATTGACGTTACTTTAGAAATTATTTAGAAAACATCAAAATAAAAATGAAACTTCTACACCCTGTATCTCCGAAACTAAGCATTTTAGGACATATATCTATACGATTTTTTTTACTTATTTTTATCTGCAGAATATGCGGTCGAAGTTTTCGGAATACAGTTCGGACCACGCTGTATAATGGAAAGTGTGTAGTAAACTTTTATTCTTGAAACTGCTCCAAAGAGGTATTAAATTCATGCTATAATTTTTTAATTGTATATTTTATAATAAATGACCTAAAAAATGCTTTTTTGTCATACGCTCCCAAAAACAGCTATTTTACGGACTCATTTCAGTCCGTAAAATGTTTCTTTTTCGGCCTAGGCCGTAAAGGTCGTCATGGCAACCTTTATGGACTAAAATGTCTAAATTCGTTATTTGGTTGTTTTATTTTGTCATTCGAAATTTGTCACAAAATCACATAAAATTATACATATATTTATAATTAAATTATTAAATACTAACAATATCAAAAGCTAAGTTATTTGTTTAAAGTAAGTACCTAGGTACCTATTTAAAAGAGGCTTTTAAATTAAAATATTCTTAAATTACAGTCACAAACAAGACATAATCATGTGGTACATTTTTTGGCCTAAGACAAGCATATTTTCTATACAACTCAACTGGATTGACAACGTTCCCTTCGTTCACCACCGGAAACACTCTTTTGATATTAGTTTTTGTATCCGCAAGGGTAACTAAAAGGCAGCTGTTGTCTTTTTCTATGATGTCTTGCACTCGTAGAGAGTACAATTCTTCTCTTCTACATGCTCCACAAAGGCCAATGACAAGAGCTACCTAAAATCAAATACAATGGAATAAGAAACCATCTATATATTTTAAAAATCATTATCGCAAACTTACCTTAGTAAGTAAATAAGTTTCATCACTAGCCGTGGCCAAAAAATCACCGATCTCTTTTATGGACAAAACCTTAGACTTTTTAGGCTCGTAACCAACCGAATTCCTCTTCAAAAAAGCAATAAGTTTTGGAAATTTGTCAATATAAATATCTTCTTTAACACTTAAGTTGTGCTCTCAGCATGGAATATTTCGACCAAATTGACGATGGTTTGAATGTTTGTGACTGTAATTTAAGAATATTTTAATTTAAAAGCCTCTTTTAAATAGGTACCTAGGTACTTACTTTTTCGTGGAAATAATTTAGCAATACATCTTCATTTACAACGAATACGCCATTTTTGTCTTTCCATTCATTAAAAACATCATATTCTTTCTGGTAAATGGCACGAGACTTCACAGGAAGTAAATCCAACACGATTTCTTTGGCCTTATTAGCAATATGTTCGGGATTTTGGAACATTTTAAAATTGTTGATGAATTTGTGTGATTTTGTGACAAATTTCGAATGACATGTCAAAATGCGATGAAATAAACAAACTCGTTACTAAGATATGAATTTATAAGCCAACTTTTTCAAACATTATAATTTCAAATATGGAAAATTTGCAAATATGCGTTCTAAAAAACTGTAAAAAGCGTATGACAAAAAATAGTGTATGTAACACGTACCTAAATTATGTTTTTTAGGACTCATCTACTATTTCGGACTCGGCTAACGCCTCGTCCGCAAACAGTAATGATTCGTCCTAAAAAACATCATTTTAGGTACTAGTTACATAAATAGCTATTTTATGTTTATTAAGCGACTAGTGACGAATAATTTATTTCATCGCTATACTTACGAAAAAAAAAGATGTCTTAACTAGTTTAGCAAAATGAAACATCTTCCAAAACGTCAAAGGATTATGTCATTTACGTCTGGATTATGAAAAGTATTACTTTAAATGTCAAAATTAGAAAAAAAAAACAAAGGAAAAAACACTTTTTTATACAGGGTGGTCCGAACTGCATTCTGTAAACTTCGGCAGCACATTCTGACATTTCAAATTTATGATTTTAGTCTAATATCTATATTTATTCATCATGTTTAATTTATGTCAATGACTGATAATTTCTATTCCAAATATTTGGAGAACCATTACTCATATCGATTTTTATCAAGAATCCTTTTTTACGTAAAAAACGTTGTAAATTTATATTTTTTTACTCACTAGTTTTATACAGGTACGGACGAACAGTTATTACTCTTCAAAAATATGTAGATGGCGCCCTCTACAAGTAGGAGTTAAGTAGGAGTCATATTGACATCAAAATTAAAGTTCTCATGTCAAAAAACTCCCAGACACCAATTTACACCCAAATATTGACTTTACTTCATAGATTATTTGGAAAAAATCGAAATAAATATGAAACTTTTACACCCTGTATCTCCTTAACTAAGCATTTTATGACATAAGTTTATACGAACTTTTTTACTTATTTTTATCTGCAGAATATGATGCCGAAGTTTCCGGAATACAGGTACAACAACTATATATTGTTAGTTTTGCAAAGTATAGATAGATAATAGAGATTTATTATCTGTGATGGGATGCGTTTGCGATTTCTTATGTTAGTAGTAAAAACATAATTTCGCTTTTTAATTACATTTTTGTGTGGCTTACCGCTATCATATAAAGTTGAGCCACCCGGTACTCTTCGACTGTGAGCGGCAGCGGAATGCGGTACTCTTTGATGAGCATGGTGGGGCCCCGGGCCTGCCTACGGAGTCGTTAGGCCCGGGCCCTTGCTCGTCCTAAAACCCAGGGCCCAAAGGGTTCTGAAACAAAAACAGAATATGATCTAAAAATTCTTAATATTAGATACATTATAGCTGGTACTACATCTCTGGTTCTGGGCATTGGACTATTATTGGACCAACAGTACCAACACCAAATTTTAGTGAGTTATCAGTAGTACCTAGTAGTTTAGTAGCTTATCAGAAATATTTCTGTGTGCACCATCACCAATCACCAACGCAACTTTTTTAAAATCAAAAATAAATTTGAGTTTTATTCTTTTTATAATTTTTGTCACATTTTATTGAAAACATTTGAATATCATAATATAAAAAAGTGGTGTACACATAAGAATGAAAAAAAAATTGTTTTTAACAATTTTTAAGTAATGATTCTGGCAGGACTTAAGTTAAAAGGGCCCTACACAGAACAATTTGATCTGGATGTCAAATCGCACAGTTCAGATCTTAAGACTAAATCGATAGCGATCTTTTCACACTACACTTTCAGATTTTATAAAAGATATATTCGTCACTCTATAGTCTAGCACAGTTCCTACCAAATCTGTGATCTGTGCAGTTAAAAATATTTAGAATGTTGAAAGATCGCAGATCTCTCTTCAATGAGATCTTTATCGGAGCCGCCACTACTCCCTACACGTTGAGATTTGGACTGAATCGAATGACTATACAGTTCAAATCTCTCAGATATCGTGTAGGGCCCTTTTTAACTAACTAAATTTAGGTGTGGGTCCCAAGCCCAGAAGCTAGAGATAGAGTACATTGAAATTCTACCAGCCGCCGCCGCCGTACCCAACTTTGCAGGGTGGGACCCTGTGGACCGTCGCTCACATAGCCTACCCATAAAATTGGGTCGCGATAGGACATTAACTTTTGACGTTTCTTACGTCAAAACTAACTGTCACAGTGACACGTCGTACACGGAAAAGTTGGCCGTGGTCCAATTTATCGACATACCAAATTTCATTTAAATCGGACGGTTTTTTGAATTGATTCATTGATGATGGGGTTTCGTCAAAATATCATGAAAAAATGGGGATCGAAGAACCACATCTACATTCCGAGTTTCAGCCCCCTAGCTCACATACGGCCCGAGTTACACGGCGCGGCGCTCCATTGTTACCACTTTTCCTCTCGCGCCTCGTGTGTCACGGCCTTCAATTTTTACTCCCATAGCGCGTAAAAAAGTTTTATTCAAAAATGTTTGTAATTCGCTGAAGCATATATTAGCATTGAGAAATTCTCATATCATTGCATCGGCGCGACGTTTCGTTTAGATCTTCATCAGGGTGGGACTAAGGATTGAAGAAAAATGTGGGTCGATTTCGGTAAAATTGGGGACGGGGTACAGGATGACGCCCTCGACGTTTCGAACCGAGCGATGCCTCTAAATGGACGAAATCATCAGGATTTTTCTCTCTTAATTATGGGTCGATTGGAACCAAACTCGGCATGTGGGTAGAGGCACAGATTATATAGATTATAAACTTATCGTCAAAAGCATTGTTTTTCGTGGCTCCAATTTTCGGAGTCGCGCAATAGTTAGGTTACTAGTTTGCGCACAAGCACGCCCATTTATGGTCTCTAAAATTGTGCACAGCGTCTGACCGCACCTTGTCACAGGCCCAGTTACTACGCTGTTTAGACGGGAGTTTATTTTTGCGCACAAGAAAATTTACTCGTTTGCTCATCGTCATAAAAAACAATTTTCGTACCACGAATTAGGGACAAGATTTTTATCTGTATACTTATAGGATACCTAATCTGTGGTAGAGGTACCCCAATGGAGTCCACAGACGGACGGACAGGCAGACAGAAGTAAGAAGAAATTTCACTTTAAATATGCGCACACAGTGCAGATTTTTTTTTATATTTTTATTCAAATAATTTTTGTCCATTGCCAAAAATAAAGTGGTAGAAGATTAAACAATTTTACATTCAATTGTTGATATTTATATTATGAATGAACCGATTTTAATCAACATGGTATCGAAACAAAGTGCTTTTTTGCTCTTCTCGTGAAGCTATAAATTGTACCGTAATGACTCTGTTAGTGGTCTCTAGATGGCGTTGTGAATTGTCGAAATTTTCCAAGTAAGGATGCATTTCACAAAAAAATGTTACTAATACTTATATATCAGCCTTAATTTTGCAGTTTTGAAAGGGAATTGAAGGAAGGACAGTTGAGGGTTGGAACCTTTCATGTTAAACAGCAAAATAAAACACTAATTCACCACAATACACCAAAAAAAATTACTTTTGCACTGGATGCGCGTTTCCCTAACCATGGTAGCATCATCAGCAGATGATTAAAACTAAGTTAAACAAGGGTTAAGCTTAGTTAGACTCCAGTGCAAAAGTAAAAAGTAAAGTGTTTTGGTGTATTGTGGGGAGTTAATATTTTATTTTGTTATGAAGGGGAATTAATAGTGAAATAAAAAGTCCTGGTTCGCTATTAAAATAAGGAAATACATCTCGAATCCGAAAAGTCGGATTGAAAAATTAACAGTGCCGCTTTGTAAAAGAAAAAAAAGTGTCATTAGCAAGTGGAAATTATTTAATTTTTTCATTTTATTTAATCCTGAAATGTTAGGAAGGTTTAATTTTTTTTCAAAAATATACATGCGCATTTGAGAACTGTTCCTACTTAATTTTTTTTAAAACGCTTTATTAGAAAATGAATGGCATTAAAGAACGGCTGCAACCCTAGACATTTTCCATATTTTCCAGACGATTTCAATATGTCTATTTCGATTCCACTTTAAATGATTTATTTTCGATTGTATGAAAACCCAGACGACGAATAAAACTGGAAAATGTTTCCTGTCGTAAATGGAAAAAACTGGAAAATGGTAAAAATATTTTACATGGATTGGAAATGTGATTAGGACGAAAACTAGGTTACGTCGGATTAGTTGTGACGATAGATCGTGAGAATTCCGTAAAAGCATTTCCTTCTAATGGGATTAATATTGGAATGTAAACCAAAAATTTAATGACATTTTTTTAGAAATTTAAATATTGTACAGGTTGTCCCAAATTCAAGCCTCATCAGTTACATGGATTTGATGGCAAATTTGCCTAATTTCATGCTGACGAAAATGCCACTATAAAAGTTTTAAAAGTCCGAATACTTCCGACGATTTTTGAAAAAAAAACGAATATTCGCGATTTTATTTTTATGACTATTTCAATTAGAGATGAGCAAAACTACGATTCTCTAATTGCAATTGAAACTGCGATTGCGATTTTTAAAACGGCTACGACATAACATGTGATTGTGATTTTAATATTTAAATATTGTACTAGGTACATAATCATCTGTGTATGTACCATGTACCTATGCTTAAAAGCCTTGTTTATATATAAAAGTTAAAAAAAGTTAATAAAGATCAGTTGTTTAGTTTATAAGTTTTTATAACATCTGCAACACATAGCATAGGTATTAAAACTTTATAATATGCTGCAACTGCTGCAACTACACATATCAATACTTTGTATCTGTTCTGTGTCAATACCTACTCTTTTTACGGTTCTCAGTTATCTAATTCTTTATCCAATTCTTAAAAGATCTTAAAGAACTTTTTTTAAGGTGGCTCACCTCTATAACTTTTTTGTTTTTTCAGATAAAGAAACGAGATTTGGTACGTTAGAATATGACATAAATCAGGATTGATAGACTTACTCAATTGATTTGTATTGAATTCTGTTTCAACGTAAATAACTTTAACTTTTGATTTCACCCTCGGTATATTTTTATTACCTTATTCAATAGAAAATGACACTCTGAATAGTATGACATATCATATACCAACTTTTGACATTTTCGCATATAGTTTAACTCTTTGGTTTAACTGGAAATTGTAACCATATTGTAACATGCGGTTCATAACGACAATTTGACTTAAAATACCAAATGTGTGGTACCAAATTATTCGTAAAGAAATGCTTTTTCTAAATATGCTAATGAGCCACCCTCGTTCCATTTGAACAAATTGAGATATGATTAAAAATACGATTTGGGTAACTTTTAATCGGCCAGGACAAGACACGAAAAACAATAGACAAATAAATATTCTTTCCAAGGATCCTTGATTAAAAAATTAGTGTTTTTTAAAAATCTAATGTTGCCTCAACACAGCCACTCTAGATTGAGATTTAAAGTACTATTTTTTAAGCGTAAATGTCAAAAGCTCACATATGTTGCCATTCTATTCAGAGTGTCATTTTCTATACAATTCAATACGTCAATCAATCCTAATTTATGTCATACGCTAACATACCAAATCTCGTTTTTTAATCAGAAAAAATAAAAAAGTTGTAGGGGCGAACCACTCTTGTGAAATACCCGGTATATTATGATCATGGCATAAAAAAATACCTTCTCTATAAATAAATAAAATCAAAGAAAAAATTCAATCGCAGTTTACTATAAATGCTTCAATGGACCACAAAATTACATTCTCAATAAAATCGCAACTCCTAAAAATTCAAACTCGCAGATAGAAGGTTATCACGGTCGTCGTTTACAAAACCACAACCGCAGCAAAATCGCAACTCGCAACAAAATCGCAATATTGGTTGCCTAAATTGAAACTCGCAAATAGAAGAAATCGCAGTCGCAGTTCCCTATAAAAGCCAATTTGGGAATGCGATTTTAAAATTGCTGCGATTGAATCGCAATTTGCGATTCGTTGTTCATCTCTAATTAGAATACATACCCCGCTGGCAAGCGAACCTTTAGGTCGGCGTTTACATGTATAGGAGTGAATCGTTATGGCAATCTAGTAAGTCGGAGTGAGCAAAAATACGAAGTATTTATTACATAACTACTTAATCTGACGCTATATTTCATACGCTTGGGAAAATACTCGCCTTCTGTCTTTATTCCAACTTTATTCTGTATATCTTATTTTACTAAGTGTGTTGACCGTACTTCGTACCCATGAAAACCGGCACCCAAGACCAGAACTGCCGACCCTTAGTATAACAAATAGGTTTCACCAGGGCCATGTAAGTGA